GCCGGGATGGGTAAATCTAGAGGGTGTGTTTGCCTACCTCTAGAAGTAGGCAAACACACCCTCTAGATTTACCCATCCCGTGGTCGAGGTAGGCAAACACACCCTCCAGATTTACCCATCCCGTGCGGAAAGGAAGCATGGGGATCAGTTGGTGTGCTGAAAAGCCGGAGGCAAACTTGCCCGAAAAGGCAAGTCTTCCTGATCGGGTAACAGAAACCTTGGGAAGTCCCGCAAATTGCTGTGGCTGTGGAGCCCCTTTTCGCTCGCCCATTCCTGTCAACTACGATTTTGGGCTGGCGGGTGTTTTCCTGGCGCCAAGCACCGCCAAGCAGTGGGGTCCCACCCTAAGCTAGCTCCGTGGGTAGAGCTCTGGCGTCACAATTGGGAGGTTGCAGGTTCGATTCTGGCTGCCCTCAAACCACACCCCCCCCCCCCCCCCCCCCCCCCCCCCCGACGATTAGTTGGTCCTAGGTTGGCACCCCACGTACTCGTCCCCTACTCCTGTACAGTTGTTACTGTAGCTCAGTGGGTTTGAGGTAGGAGCCGTGTAGAAGAGGACCGTTGAGGGTTTGAGTCTGATCGAGTCAGGCAAGCCCCAGTTACCGAGGCTTAGGGTTTAGGATGGTGTGTCTAGTACGTACCGATGACGAAGAGCGGTGCTTCTCTGGTTGACAGGGACTACGGCTGCTCCGGGTGATGACACCCTTTTTCTTTCTTTTCTTTTCTTTTTAAGCCACCACTACCTTTCTCGTACGTGGGGCCGCGGGCCTCAAATTCAAATTCGGCTGCCACGCGCCGTCGATGAAAAATATCGACGGCGGCGTGGCGGCTATTTTTCAGGAGTAGGCTACTAGATGCCTGTGGCCGACATACGGGAAAGGTAGCGGTGGTTTAAGGAGGAGGCCAGTGCCCAAGGCTCAAATTATGCAATTGAATGCAAAGCGAACCCACACCTCTTCCCATTAAGGCTGAAAGAGCCTCAGCCACTGCTCCCATGGAGACAGCTTCCCTATTCGATCCGGATGTACCACGGGCAAACGACATTGATTGCCTCCCAAATAAGCAAGGATTAACCCCGCTCCGTGCGGAATCAAGCTCTGCCCTTCTCAACTTGACTAAATCTACATTCTGCACCATACTCATTGGGAGGGGAGCGGTCACCGGGCAAACGGGTCTAGCTAAGTCGAAGATCCAAGTCCAAACCCTAGGTAACCCGTTCCATATGGAATTACCTAGGATTTAGTTAGGCCCTTTTGCCGAGGGTAACTCGTTGTGTAATTGCGATCTGAAGTTGACATCTATAATGGCTGGAGGGATTTAGTTGATGGCCGAGGTAAGGGATGGGTGGCTGTAGACCTACCAATGACAGAGGCTAGGGTACCTCCATATTGTATATACAATCACCAACGATCAGATCAGAACAGACGAGAATTAAAAAGAAATTTACGAAGGAGTGGCTGGCAGGAGGCAAGGTAGCAAACATACAGGCCTCCCATCTACGATGGAAGGACTGGCACAATTCAGAAGCCAGTTGGAGGAAGTCCCAGCCTACAGATGGACAAGGGTCACAACAGGTTACGTGAATCCTGTGGCAAAGACGCGATATAGTCAGGTTCTGTAATGGCGGCTGCCACCATTGTCTAGCCCTCTCTTGCTCTCACCATAAATACGAAAGGTTTAGATAGCTCTGGACCTGAGAGGAAAGATAGATGTATGGCAAGCTGACAGTCAATCCTCCGCAATGCTGGAGCAATCAATGCTGTTCAGGGTCCTTCGGCCAGATGGAAGGAAGCGTGAGGCTGTCTCATATTGTAATTTCTGACGTGCCAGTGGAATAGGAACCGAACTGATGCTCCCCAGAATGGATATGGAGCCAGCCCCCCCCCCCGAAAAAAAAAAGGGCCTGGGTTAAGTGCAAGAAAAGCTGGGCATGAGGTTCACCCTCACTGCAGCCATGCTTTTTTTTTTTTTTTTTTTTCAAAGCCCAAGTTGTTGTAGAGCCCAAATTCGGACATATGGTTGTTGCTTTATACGAGTGCTGGAACCGGAAAGCTGCCCGGGGGGGCACCCTTACTGGTACTATCCCGACTCAACCAGCTACTGATGGTCCTGACAATTGTCATGTGGACCTGCCACCCTTTTTTTTTTTTTTTTTTTTTTTTTTTTTTTGAAAAGCCCAGGTTATTGTAGAGGTTGGGTATCGACCCAGGCGGGTACTGTCATTGGAGCGCCGGAGGGAGACTTCCCAGTTATTTTTTATTTTTTTTTTCCTTTTTCTTCTTTTTTTCTATATAAAAGTCCATGGTGTTGTAGAGGCCGGTCACTGACTGCACAGTGATCACCTGGAGTGGTAGGCCGTGGGTGTCCTGGAATATGAGACCACCTTCCCATCCCATCCTCACATCAATACTCCTAGCGCACCCCCTATCCCACTATCCTACCTCAGTGTGACGAGCACTCAGGACCATCACCCTACCAATTGGCAGGTAACTTGGACCGAACAGCAGTGATAGGCACCAGGGCTGGTTACCCAGCCCTGGCGGAAGCAGAGTCGGATGAGCCTTGTCGAACGAGGACTTCGGACGCCAGGCCCAGACAATGTACTACAGGTCTTAAGAGACTCTAGGCCCTAGGTTCAGACAGGGCAACAATCATTGAAGCAGTCTTACCGTCCTTTCCTAGCTTACCCAAGGCCAGGCGGAACTCGGACTAACCTAAGCGACCTATACCCTACCCTTAGCCTAGGGTCTAAGCCTAAGCCACTAGACAGTTCTATCCGAATATCAGTAGGAACTCCGGTGACCAGCCTCGTACCTACTACGATACTAGACCCTACCCAGTGATAGACCCCCCCAGTCTGATAGTTGTATAGTTCGCAATCTATGTGTATATATCCGAAGGCTAGATGTACAGTTAGCACCATGTGTGGAAACTTGTGTATGTAGCCCATAGGCCATGTATAGTTCGCAAGCTAAGTATGTATGCCCGAAGGCTGTGTGTGCTCTGTGAATCTATGTATGGAATGTAACGGCAACGAGCTGGACAAGGACCTCCCCCAAGGACCGAACCAAGCTCGAGCCCGTGACCTCATATCATATAATCGAATGACTCTGCCATGTGAACGACCAGCGGAAATGGAACGAACGAATGATATGCCAGACTGTGGAGATCAACAGAACACCCAAGACCGACCCCCCCAAGCAACCCATGTGAAACCCAGAACCACCATACAACACCATGAACAACCCTTGGGTGGTGCACAGGCAGTGTCTGTAATAGTACCATGCGTCAGCCCAAGGGAGTGTATGTCCAGCCGTGTGTAAATCTAACGCCCTGCCGGTGTCCATGCGCAAGGTTGCAATTGAGCCGAAGGTGGGATGGTGGGAAGTGGCGGAAGAAGTCAGC